ACAGGAAAGCAGAACCGGGTCCCCAGTTCTGCCCACACTGGCTGCTGCAGGGCTGGTTGGTTGTTTCTGTTAAGCCTTGGCTTCTTGACTATAAAATGGGGATAGGATTCCTTATGAGGAGGAGCCCGAAGAACCCTTACCATAAGTCCAGCTGCCTGGCCCCTAAGGCTAGGGGCAGGGTGCTCCAGAAATGGGCTCAAACTAGGCCAGGGGGAAGGGGTATCCCTAGGGGAGGTGGCACATGACCCGGGGACCAGGATCCCAGAGTGTCACTTGTTTACAGTCTCAGTCTCAGCCCAGGGGATTTTCACTGCCCTGGAGCAGGGGTCTAATTTAAGGGTCAGGCTCTCATCCCTGCTGAGGATACATAGTAGCCCTAGAGTGAGGAAGCTGGTCCCAACCCTGGTATTGCTCAAAAGGGGGTTCATCCTGGGTGCCAGGGTCACAGAGCCTGAAATAGGGCCTTTCAGTACAAATTCCCTACGGCCCAGAAGCACCACACAGCCCAGAGGGCATTGTCTGCAGCTCTCCCAGAGGCTAGGAGGGCCACTCTGTCATCACAGTTATCCTATGTTTAAACACAGCACAGGTGAACACAAGCCCAGAGTCAAGGGCAAGGAAGACAAAACTGCAAAGCCAGATCCCCCAAGGACACAGATTCCAAGAATCTCGGCCTAAAAGAGGTGCACAGCTCCTCGGCCTAAAGAGGTGCACAGCTCACTCATCCAAGAATCTATGCTTTCTGAGATCAGGATCTCTCTGTCCTTCCCAGGGATAGCCCAGCCCAGGGATACCACGGCACAGAAATAGCCCTCCTGGGTCTGACAATGACAGCAGGACAAGATAGAGAAGCTCTATAGCCCAGGAAGAACATGTGTTTCCAAGGTCAGTGGTTGGAAGCTGACAGACTGGCCAGCACCTGCCTCATGTCCTAGGGCCCGAGCAGCCTTTTCTCCCTCATAGTTCACCCTTTTCTGCCCAGGACTGATTGCTCCTCGGGTAGCTTCTGCCCCTATCCTGCCTCCTCTTGCACTTCTCCTCCAGTTCATCCTCAGCTGCTCTCACATACCATGCCCTATGCATGGGTCCCCCTCTGGCACCACTCCAGCTGGCAGCAGTTTGTGTCTGGCTAAGCAGAGGGAAACCTGAGCATGTTTACCAGCCAGGGTTGAAGAAGCCAGCATGTCCCTAGAGGCTGGCATGGTTCTTCACTCAGAACTACCACTGGTGAAGTAGGCTGGGAGAGGAACTAGGCCCTCAGAAGTGCCAGAGATACCTATTGGCCCTGCCAAGCCGCAAGGAGTCATGAGGGTGTAGCCTGTTGCTCAGCAGCCCAGGGTAGGTGAGTGGTGGTCTTGTCCTGGCTGACCAGAGGGTAGAGCAGGGTGAATGGGAGGGGCTCTGTTCACACTGAACAGTTGGAGACAAGACCCTAATTCAGGGTCTCAAGAACCCACAGAGCAACCTGCTCCCATAAGACTCCATCCCTCTGCAGCCCCCACCAGGAAAGCAAAAATTTCACAGGAAATCTCCTCTAACTCCACACTCAAGACAGTTCATGTCCTCATGTTCTCAGGCACATGATTATGTTCTCAGTATAGGGCATGATCCTTCACATATCATATCCTAAGATACTTTTATCCTCCAAATATTGCAATTGGCTCACACCTAGTGATTACTATCATGTCAAAGTCTGACAATGTTTTCTCTTTCTTGGTGGACCACAAAATAAGGTGTAACTCCCAATGATAGTGTTTCAGACCAAATGGCCCTCACGGGCAGTCTCCTAGTCCAGGGACCTCCTTCCAAAGCTCCTCCACCATACCCTTCTTTGCATCCACTGCACCCACTACCACCGAGATGCACACTTGCCCAGTGCCAGCCTTCCTAGCTTGGGAGTGAGCATGAAGACATCAGCACCATCTTCCTAATAGCTATCCCCATGTCACTCACCAGTGGGTCACTGTCCAGCCCCTCTACTGCCATCAGATAGCCCATGGCCTTGTGTGTTTCCTGTTTTCTCAGATGTCACTTGCTGCTATACTTCCCAATCCTAAATGTAATTTCTGCCATAGAACCACCTTCCACCTGACACCCTAGGAGACGGGCAGACTTGACTGTGCTCAATAGGACTTGACTGCTGTAACTGCATAGCCATAGAAGCAGAATAAACCTGGGATGGTCAACCATTCATCTGCCTCAGGATCCACATCTGAGGCAAAATAGCCCCCAGTATGTGTGCAAGGCCTTCTTGCTCCCAACATAGATAAAAGCAGAGCCACATGAAGCTCCCAACTCAGAAAAAAATTCCCTGGCTCCTCCTCCCTGGTAGGGCAATCATAAATGGCCCTGGGGTCACTGCTGCTTACTAAAAGACAGGAAAGCTCTGGGCAAACTGGAATGTAGGGCCAGCCAGCTCCTAAGGAGGGAGAGACTCAGCCTGAAGAGACCATGGTGGTCACAACCGACACCTTCCAGGTGTCACTGTCACACAATCTCTCAGGCGCCCACGGCTTGACTAGAAAGAAGCTTGTGAAAACGCTCTGTTCAAAGGATAAAGCCAAAGATGAAGAGGCTGGGGATACAGCTCAGCAGCATAAGCACCTGCCTAGCAAGCACTAAGTCCTGAGTTTGATTTCTGGTACAAAAAAAAGGGTAATGCCATCCAGCAGAAGTGGACTCTAAGTGACCCCAGCCCTATCCCACCAGATCTCCAGAGCCATAGCGGTCAGGTAAGACTCACTTAGGCTGCCCTGAGTCTCCCTCCATCAACTCTATCTTCTGCCACGTCAGGGGTCAAACCCCTGGCCTCACACATGCTAGGCACCTACACTAACTTTGAGCTAGACCCTAACCACTGCTTTAACTCCTCCCTACACTCCATGGCAGGTCCCCAGGCTTCCTGAAATGTCCCCTCCCCAGTAACATCTGTGTTGCTCCGCTCTATGTGGCATTCATTCCACACAGGACAAAGGCTTCATCAGGTGAGCCTGTTTAAAAATTCCTATGTGAAGCCAGTGAGACAGCTCAGTGGACTAAGTGCCTGCTTAGGCAAGCGCAGGGATCAGGGTTCAATCCCCCATCCCAGGCATGCCGAGCTGGTGACCAAATTCAGGCGTGGTAGCACATGTCTGTAATCCTAGTGCTGGGGAGGCTGAAAGCAGAATTACTGTGAGTCCAAGCTGCATACCAAATACATAAAACTAAAAATTCCTCTGTGGAACTCAAGGGCTTCAGTGACTTCCTGGGGAGAGACCAAGGACAACAGCATAGTTGTAGAATGCATCTCAAACTCTTCTCAGGTCTCCGAGAAAGTCTTCCATCCACCCCAGAAACATTGCATACATAGTTGATAAGTCTTGTCTCCAAGTAGAATGAATATGACTGAACATTCTGTGTTCCTCTAGAGATTCTGGTATTGAAAGTTCCCTAGATCTCACTTCTACGTTTTGTATCCTTTTCAATGAGACCACTAGAATGTGGTCTAGCAACCAAGCAGGTGCTCGAAAGACACTGTTATGACAGGTACCACGTAGACCTGGTGGTCCCCTAAAGCTCTCTCTTCTCTGCCTATCGCTAGTTGCCCTCTTCATCACTCCACCTCTGGTGATCCAGGCAACCTGACTCCCCCTGCCAGCTCTGCCTCCTGTTTCCCTTCTGCCCCACCTCTCAACCTCTAAACGCCCTCAACAACCCCTGAGCGCCCCGAAGTCCACTCAGCGCCTGCACTTGTATCTCAGAGCCCTTTGCTTGAACTTGCCCTCTGCCCAAAACTCTGTCCACTCAGTCCAGGGCGGAGGGCGAGGGGGGAAGACCACTGTTTCTGGTAAGTCTACGAGTATAGGCGCGTTATGGTCCGTATCACCACTGACATGACATCTGCGGGCTCCGCGGCGTCCCTGCGGTCGCGTCTCGTAACTCTCTCCAACTGGCCTGGTCAGTGCCGCGGCACCGAAAAGCAGGAAGGAGGGCGGCAGGAAAGGGGAAGGAAACTCAAAAGGGCCGGCGCGGTCCAAGAAGCCGGAGACATCCTCGCAACATCCCCTGGGCCGCGGGGTCAGGGGACATCCGCCCACCTCAGTTCGCCTGGCGGAAGGGCCCCGTCACGGCGGCTACCATTCTGAATTTGATCGGGACTTGCCCGGCCCGACGACTAGGCGACACTAGGGCGGGGCAGGGCGGGACGGCCATGGTTCCTCCGGGCCCGCGCCCGCCCCGCCCAGTCCTGCCCCGCCCCGCCTCGCCTCGCCACGCTTCGCCTCGCCTCGCCTCGCTTCGCCTCGCCTGCTGCCGGCGCCGCGCCCGCCTTACCTCGCCCGCCCGGCCGCCAACGCCGCCGCCTCTTCCCGTGCGGCCGCCGGAAGTGACGCGGGCGCAGACGACGTCACGTGGCCACCGCGCAGGCCACGCGGGGTGGGGCCAGCCGTGGGGCTGGGGAGTGGAGGGCTAGGGTCATGGAAGGACGGGGAGGGAGAGTAAGACGGGCGCATTGGAGACTTGGGGAGGTCTAAGACGGGAATAATGGAGCCCAAGAGACTTGGGGAGGGGAACACTGGGGTGTTAGAGGGGGACTCGGGGACGAGAAACACAGCGGGAGGGGGGTACTTAGGGAGACCTGGGACAAGGATCATGGAGAAGGGAGGTAGTCATGGGGGAGTACATGGAGAGACATGGGAAAGGGGAGAACTAGGGATATGGGAAGGCTTGATGACTAGAGGGACAGGGGACACGGAGGGAGGGGTAGGGAAGGGTGGGGACATGGGACAGTGACCTAGGGCAATGGGAGACTGGGAGACAGGGAGACAGGAAGATGCCAGGTGAATGGAGGGGAGGGCATGGTGTGGGTGGGGGTGGGAGACGCTGAGTATGGGTAGAAGCAGATGGGGGACACCAGAGGCGTGGGGACAAAAGGGGTGATTGGGAATGAAAGGGTTTCCAAGAGGCCCTGGCCCCCAGCCCTGTGCTGCCGCAGAGCGCAGTAATAGGCAATCACCACAGGCTTGGGGATAACATTTATTGAAAAAGTAAAAAGTGTCACAATAAAAAATTGACTTAGAAAAAAAGCCAGGCCAGAGACATAGGTATAAGGGCCAAGGTCACGCCCAAAGATGGTAGGTTGGAGTCCAGGGCAGGGCGGTTTAGTCCACGCTGGCTCCCTTGAAGAGCTCCACCAGGTCCTTGAAGTCAGGGTCAATGAGGTCGGAGGGCAGGTCACCATCATCATTGGCTGCTTCTCTGTCTGCCCCCAGGGAAATGAGGTACCTGGGTGCAAAGGGCACCCTGATTGAGGCATGTTCAGCCCCGCCCCAGGGTAAGAGTCCTGGGGTCACCTGTTAGTTTTTCCTGGCAGGGTGAAGGGGAAGAAACCAGACCCCATGGCAGCTGTGTCGTGTTTTCCAGTTTGCTATAGCACAACAAAGGGTGGAGATGGTGTGCTGGAGCCCATGGGGCTGTTGGCCAAACTGACACTTGGGGTCCCACACCCTGGAGACCAGGTGAGGCTAGAGGGGTCAGGATGCAGTCTCTGCTCACCCACCCTTCTGACTCACCTGGCTATGTCAGGGTACCCATCGCTGCAGGCAATGTGCAGGGGTGTCCAGCCTGTCTCATCACGTTGGTGAATGTCAGCGCCATATTTGACCAGCAGCTTTACACACTCTAGGTTTCCAGAGAGCACAGCTTCATGCAGAGCAGCCAGGCCTAGGCAGGGATCAAGGCTGGAGTCCTTGAACTGGCCTTCCCCTGCCACCCCATATACCCTCAGCTGGCTGTTCTGGTCCTCTCACCTGAGGGGTGGATGGTGTCCAAAGAGACCTTCCGAGTCCTGATAAAGCGCCCCACCTGTTCCAGGTCACCCTGGCGGATATGGTCCAAGAAGAGGACATCATTAGGGAAACGGACACTTCGATATGCCATCAGCCGCCGGCGCCGCTGCCGGGGACTGTAGCGAGAATAACGCACAGTTCTGCTAGGCATCCTGGGGGCTAGAGAAGGGCTGCCCCTTTGGGGACCCTGCTGCACCGAGGTAAGGAGTGAGCCAGCCAGGCCAAACCAGGTGAGAGTGCAGGCTCTTCTGTCTGACTGAGACCTTGCTCCCAGCTTATATAGGCCTCATGGAGCTATATAAAGCTGCGCAGTCATGCTTGCCGATGCAAGGGGCTGAAACCGAGCTGCTCCCTCCCTCCCTGCGCACAGGATCGTGTTTGGAGGCTCATCTTTCAGCCCACCTGTTGCCATGTCCGGCCAAAGGGGTCAGATCTTTCTTGGCCATCACTTCCAGTCCCACAGCTAGACTTAGAAGGTGCCTCACAGAGGGCCAGAGGGGGACTAGGCTGGAGCCCCTGATAAGGTCATAGGTGTAGGGTCAAGGGCAAGGTAGGGATCCAGCCTGTGGAGAGGACACCTGCAGGTCACTCACTTCTACCTGCCTCTAGAGGTGAAGGGCTGTCTTCCTTTCCAAAGTGTACTGGAGGCCCCAGCCCTATCCACCTTCCCACCATTTATTACTCTCTTCCATTGCAATCCTAGCACCCTGGGGCAGCTTTCCCATGATAACCACCATTGCTGCCCAGGCAGGGCCCTGGAACAGTCCACCGTGGCCCCACTAAGTGCCTCCTCCCCCTTTCAATGCCCCCACATCCACATCTGCCCACATCTTTCTTTTGGTTCCAGGATGTGAAGACACTGCCAGAAACATCTCTGTACCACAGAGATGGAGACTGTTGTGGGAGTGTCTCCCCTCTGTCCCATCCAGCAGGCTCCTATGTCAGCTGCCTTCACTTGGTGGGGGGCTGTACTGGGAATTAAACTCAAGACCTTGTGCTTTTTGGATAGGTGCACTGCCACCACTTGTAGCAGGCACAACTGGCAACGCAGCATCCACACTGGGTGCCCGAGAAAAGCTGGTGGGTGAACCAAGGACACAGGAGCAGGGCAATGTGGGGTTCTGCAGCATTGGCAGCTGCCCAGTGGCCCTGACACCTCTCCTGGGCTGACCTGGCAGAGTACCACAGGTTTAAGACCTAAAGTCTCAGAATGAGACATAGGCATGGTAAAGGTAGGTTCCCCCAGTCTCGGGAGAGTTCATTTTGACGCTTACAGCTACTGGAGATCTCTGTGATCCTCAGGGTTCTGGCTTCACATGTCTTGTACTGTGTATCCAAATCCCCTGTTTCTGATGACACCAGTCATAACAGGACTTGGCCAGTTTCAGTATCACTTTATCTTCACCAGTTATACCAGCAATGGGCCCTACTTTGGAGTAAGGTCACATCTGGAGATATTAAGGAGGGATTAATAGGTATTTTAGGGGATAAAACTCAATTCACTGCATTAGCAAGATGATCCAGGTGGTTGTTGGAGGCCTAAATGAGCTCAGAAGTCAGACTGGCCAGCTGCTTTTCCTGAGCGGGAGAAGAGGCCACGTATTTGGTCGTAGCAGGCAGCTGGCTAGTCTCTGGCCAAGGAGACCAAGTCAATATCAGGAACCCTCCAGATAACAAAGGTATGGGCTGTAGGCTATGGGCAGGTGGCACCGACCAGGGCCTGGTCAGGGTTTCTTCACCTGCTCCCACTGCACAGGCACACAGCACTACAGCCTGGGACTGACTATTGTCTCTGCCCTTCTGGCCAGGCCCTGGCCCCCAGGAAGCCTGCTGGGGCTGTTTCCTGTGTGGTCCTTGGGAGGAGTCAGGTAGAGTTTCTTCTGAATGTGTACAGGAATCCAGGAGATGAAGGGTTCCATGCTATAATCAGATAGGACCTTTCTTTGAGGAGAAGACTGTATCTTTTCTCCCATTGTGCAAAATTCCATCTCCTCTGCTCAGAGGATGGGTTGAAAGCTTTCAGTGGGGCTCGGTGGGAGAGCACTTGTCTGTTGTGTTTCAGGGCTTGGGTTCAATACCCAGCACTGTAAAGAAGAAAAGAGGAGCTGGGGAGATGGCTCAGTGGAATAAGCGCTTCCCCGGCAAGCACAAGGGCCTGAGTTCAATTCCCGGCTCTCCCAAAAACAAAAAAAAAAAAAAAAAAAAGAAGAAGAAAAGAAAGCCAATAATAATAATAATAAATAATTTTGGCCGGGGAGATGGCTCAGTAGAATAAGTGCTTGCCTGGTAAGCATAAGGGCCTGATTGCAAGCCCCAGTTCTGCCAAATAAAATAAAATAAAACAAAGGTATCTGGAATAATAAATACTTTCGCTGGATAAAGCCAATTACAGTGCCTTGGCTGGGACCAGTAGAACGGCTCCTACCAGCAGAGGCCAGGCCTCAAAGCTGGGTAAGCCCCTCTGGCTAGCCTGTGTGGGGAGGTAAGACAGGAGCTTCTGGACTATCCTGCTAATATAGAACAAGAGTGTGCAGGATTGTGGCTGTGGGCTTTCTGTTAGATGAAAGCTGCCAGATCTGCTGAAAGGAATTTGCTTGACATTTGCTGTACTGGACCCTGGGACTGTGCCTGGACCATCTCACCTCTGGCACTTCCCACAGGAGCCAACTGTAAGTGGCCCACACTGCTAGACCTCGGGACAAAGTGGGTATTTCTACAGCTTTATCTGTGATTCTTCTCAGGATAAGATCCTTGAGACAGGATCTTGTTGTACAGTCCAGGCACTTTTTTATTGCGGTACCAGGGATTGAACTCAGGACATTGCACTTGCCAGACAGGCGCTTACGCCACTCAGCTATATCCCCAGCCCCCCAGGCTAACCTTAAACACATGACAGTCCACTGCCTGTCGGCCTGAGTGCTGGGATTACAGGATGTGCCACAATGTATCTCATTATGTACCTTAAATTTATAGTGATTCTCCTGCCTTCACCTCCTAAATCCTGGGATTGATTTTATTTATTTATTTATTTATTTATTTATTTATTTATTTATTTCCCCGGAACCTGGGATTGAATTTAGGCCCTTGAGCTTGCCAGGGAAGTGCTTATTCCACTGAGCCATCTCCCCAGCCCTTAAATCCTGGGATTACAGGTGTGTGCTACCACTCCCAGAAGGATCAATGTTTTGTTTTTTTTTTACAGTACTTGGGATTGAATTCAGGACTCACTTGCAAGGCAAGTGCTTATTCTACTGAGCTATCTCCCCAGCCCCAAATTCCTGCGTGAAGATAGATAGATAGATAGATAGATAGATAGATTTATTTATTTATTTTTTTTTTTCAGAACTGGGGATTGAACTCAGGCCCTTGCACTTGCCAGGCAAGCACCTATTCCCCACTCCAGCCCTGGGTACAGGGAGCCTCCAATCCACTCAGATGTCTCTAAACCAGGCTCTCAAACTCCACCCCTAGCAAGTCCATGAATTGTCCATCCTGAGTTTGAACTTTTCAGTCTTCCCTCTTCAGCCTCCCAGAGTGCTGGGATCACAGGCTTGTTTGGTCTGGGTGATTTTAAATTGCTATTTTTTGGATGACAAACCAAAACACTTAATTGAAAAGGTTACCTTCTAATTATTAACAAGTCCATGGGGCTGGGGAGATGGCTCAGTAGAATAAGTGCTTCCCTGGCAAGCACAAGGGCCTGAGTTCAATCCTTGGTTCCACAAAAAAACCAAAACAAGTCCAGTGAATGCCACCAGCAGTGCTTTGAACAAAGTACAAAGCTCAGGGGCTTTCCAGCATTTGGGAGGTCGAGGCAGGAGGATTGCTGTGAATTGAAGACCAGCCTTCACTACACAGTGAGTTCAAGGCCAGCCTGAACTACATAGCAAGACCTTGTCTCAAAAAAAGCAAACAGGGGCTGGGGAGATGGCTCAGTAGGATAAGCGCTTGACCGGCAAACGCAAGGATCTGAGTTCAATCCCCGGTTCCGCAAAAAAAAAAAAAAAAAAAAAGCAAACAAAAAGCCCAGGGGCTGTAAAGAAAGTTGGGCCAGCCCAGGAAACCCAGGGAGGCTGAGCCCAGTTGACTCTTTGGGCAGTGCCTAGGCCTGAATCTGGTATTTTAGGATCCAACCTACTGGCTTCCTGCCACCTACAGAAAGAGAAATTGGAAAGTTCCTGCTGCTAAGCTGTCACTGCCTCCTCTAGAGCCTTCACAGTAGCCCTGCTAATCCACAAGGCCAGTCAGAACTCTTGGCCACCTCCCCTTAGCCTTCTGTCATAGTCGTGCTGGGAATGTGATCATCAGTTGCCTCTGCAAAAGGGGAAAGGTGTCCGTGACTCACAACCTTCCCAGTAGCATGTGACCTGACAGTGGCTGCTTTTTACCCGGAAGCCAGGTCCATACACAGCTGGTCAGCAGGATCACTGAGAGCTCCAGCCCAGCCTCTCTCCACTGTGCCTAGAAGTGGCTCTTTCCTTCTCCTTCCAGACCCCCATTTCTTCCTCTACTGGGACCATAGTCTCTGGTGGCAGCTCATTTTGCAGGCTAAGAGCTAACATCCTTGCACCTAATTTTTAAGTGCTCAGGCCCCATTGGGTACACTGGAACACTGGGTGCTGGGCTGGCTGGGCCTCATTGGAGCTGTCCACAGGGATGACAACAGGTCCTCATCACCTGCTAGCCTGCATGACCTGGATCACAAATGGGAGCAGCCCTGGTTTGAGGGCTCACAGGACAGGAAATGTTGGGGATGAGGGAAATGCTCCCCTTCCTGCCCCGGGGAAGATGCTAGTATACCAACCACAATATCCAGTGATCCCACTGGGCCAAGTCTGGCTATGCTGATGTTCTCCAGCACCTCCACATGATGGAGGAACCGAGAACCTGGGCTCTTGGGATAGATGCTGTAACCGCCTGAGTCAGGCTCAGCCCTCTTTCCTCTGGGCAGTGCAGACACCTTTAGGGGTGCACATGGTAGGGTAGGAAATAGGGCAAGGCCAGGCTCAGAAACCCTATAGCAAACCCCGCCCCCCAGCAAAACAAAAACCTGTAGCACAGAGTGAGGCTGGGGAAAACTTTTTGATAGGTTATGGCCCTAATATGAATTGCTGAATTATGGTGGTCATGATATGGCTGAAGCTCTTAAAATAACAGCTTATCTTCCCAATGACCACTTTCTCCTCCTTCCCCACTCCACCGCTGGACACAACTTTTTTTTTTTTTGGCAGAACTGGGGATTGAACTCAGGCCCTTGAGGTTGCCAGGCAAGCACTTATTCTACTGATTTTTTTTTTTTTTTTTTTGGCAGAACTGGGGATTGAACTCAGGCCCTTGAGGTTGCCAGGCAAGCACTTATTCTACTGAGCCATCTCCCTGGCCCCTCCTGGGTACAACTTTATTTGACCTTTCTCGCCCACAAGGGAGCCTCCAATCAGCTCCTTACACATCACTAAACCTGCCCCTCAAACTCCACCCCTAAGGAAAGTCCATGAAGTCTCAGGTCAGAGGATCCTCCCATCTCCCTGCCCTTGCTCCTCTCCATGTTTAGAGTTAATAAAGGCTTTCCCTCCCCCTATTTCTGCTTCTTTGCTGTGCATTGCTGCCATGCTGCCGCCATCCCTATTGCCTCTAAAACCTATCATTTTGGGGCTGGGGAGATGGCTCACTAGAATAAGCACTTACCTGGCAAGCACAAGGGCCTGAGTTGAATCCCTGGTTCTACAAAAAAAAAAAAAAAAACCCTATCATTTTTCCACCAGCCAAGAATAAGCTGAGGGGCTGGGGAGATAGCTTGGTGGTCTAAGCTACCTGCCTGATAAGCACAAGGGCCTGGGTTCAATCCCCAGTTCCACCTGCCATGCTGGTCTTACATAGCAAGACCCTGTACCAAATAAATCTTGGGCCAGGCAGATGACTCAGTAGAACAAGCACTCCCCTGGCAAGCACAGGCGCCCTGAGTTCAATCCCTGGTTGAAAAAAAAATCAGCTGAGGATTTTAAAGTCAGACTAATTTCTTTCTTTTTTTAAATTTATTTAGTGTGTGTGTGTGGTCAGCTCAGCCCACCCGGGGGCGGGGCTGGCTGGCATGTGGTGCTAGGGATTGAACTGTGGTCCCTGTGCTTTTGCTTAGCTTAGCTCGTTCTAAGTAGGTGCTTTAGATCACTGAGCCATCTCACCAGCCCAGTCAGACTAATTTCTAAGCCCAGGAAACAGGGCTGGGGTACAGCTCACCAATGGAATGCTTGCCTACCATGTGAGACCTTGTGTTCCATTCCCAGTACTGTACAACAAATCAGTAAATGTCCCACTTCAACACCACCGCGCTTTTTTTGTAATTCTGGACTTGAACCCAGGAGCGAGGCATTCTACACTGCCAGCCTAAAGCTTTTATTATTTTTGGTTGAGACAAGGTCTCCCTCTGTAACTCAGGTTGGCCTTAAAATTTATAGCAATCCTCCTGCCTTAGTAGCCTCTCAAGTGCTGGGAGAAGAGGTATGCACCACTATTCTCAGTATGAGGTTATTTCTATGAAAATTTGGTAACATGCATGGACACCTGTTCATTTATTTTTTTTGTGGAACCAGGGATAGAACTCAGGCCCTTGTGCTTGCCAGGCAAGAGCTTCTTCTACTGAGCTATCTCCCCAGCCCTCATTTTACTTCTTGATGAGACTCACCACAGTTCTCTGGGCCAATGCAGTAGGGGACAGAGAAAGACTGCTAACCAGCCCTTACCTACCCCCAGGAGCTGCATGCAGGGTGGCTGCTGTGCTGTCAGAGACCTGACCAGTAGCTGCTGCTGCATTTCTTATACACTTCAGTATGTAACAAGAGACCCTGACAACAGAACTCCACCAAAGCTACCTATAGTTCCTCAGGTGTCAGAAATCCCACCCAGCTCTATGGCTTAAAGTCATAAGCAGAAATAACAAAAGATAGTAAAATTTCAGTTTTATTTGGCCAATGTGTTCAATTCCAAGGTTGTGGTATAAATGCCTAATGGTCAACATCTGATCCAGCACCCACAACCTTGGCTGTCTCCTAGCCTGAGAATCAAGGTCCTGGTCCCCGATGCATACTTGGCTGTATTGGAGGATCCAGGAGACAACAGGGCTGTGTGCCCCATGACAGGCAGGACAGTGGGTGGGATGACAGGCCCAAATTCAAGGCAGGGAGGAGGGAGCAGCCCAGGGCCCTGTCCTGGCCTCCTAGTAGCTACCACGGTCCCCTTCTCCAAACACAGGAGCTAACCTGACTGTATCTGAAGTCTCTGTTTAACAAAAAAATGCAAGAGCCATGCTCATCCTGGCCACACTGGCATGAGGTGAATGGGGAGTGGGCTGTGTCCAGCCTGGATCCACCCCTCCTAACAGAAGGTGGGAGACTCCAGGGAGGCCTGGCCAAGGCAGAACAAATACCCTGACATTGAAAACTATCTCAAAGCTCCACGGATGAAATCGTTTTAAAGGGATAGTATAAATCTCTCTAATAGGAAAGAGACATTACCAGTGTGAGATCCCAAACATTTTAGCAAGCACTCGGGACAAAAACCATGTACAAAAAAGTACATCACAATTTTAAAAAAGTAGCCCAGCAAGATGGACTGGCTCGGAGATAAATCCCTTTCCAAAAATTGAAAAATAAAAGGAAGAGACGGGTCTGAGTTTCCATGTGTTAGGACGCGAGTGGCTGCGGGAGGGCTCCCCGGCTCTCCAGTGGCGCCCTCCTCAGGTGAGGTTGGCTGAGGTGTCGGGCTGCTGCCCCGGTCCATTCCCATTTACAGTTCATCTTTCACAGCTTTCTGATCATCATCTTCCTCCATGTCTGGCTCTTCAGCTTCTTCCAGGTCCAGGTCCTAGATGCAGGAAGAAAGAGACTGGTCCACCTAAACGTCTTCCTGAGCTTCTCACACTTGCCTGCTCTCCACAACACACACATTTCTACTTGCTGCCTCCAGTGTCTCCAACACCAACTGCCACTCCCACCACATTCTCCTGACCTTCCCTCCCATCCTCTAGGCTGATGCTGCTGAACTTATGGCACTCGTAATGCAGCTCGCTGTTTGTTATCACTGAAATCTCTGAAAAGGTTTGCCGTCATTCACCCAACAGCATTACTGGCCATGAGCCGTCTCGGGCAGGCCTGAGCGCTGTTGCCTGGCCTGGACAGTGATAGTGAGAAGCCTTACCAGCACAACAGACATGGGCTTTAGCCACAGGCTGGATTTCTTGTCTGCAGGGACATGAGGACTCTGGGATGCATCTGAGACTTTCAAAGCAGTCTGGCTTTTAAAGATGCTTTACACTGTTATGTGGCAGCACACTCCTGTAATCCCACACTTTGGAAAGCTGAGGCAGGAGTATCACAAATATGAGCTCAGCACTGGCAATTCAGAGACTCAGTGAAACCCAGTCTCAAAATAAAAAAGGGCTAGGGATATAGCTCAGCACAAAGGCCCTGGATTATTTCCTCCCACCAAGATGCCTTCAAAGTCCCTTCCCTGAAAAATTGCTGGGCACAGGGGATAGGGTACAGCAACTGGAACACTTCCTAGGCCCCTCAGGCCCGGATGCACAGCTGCACCTGCTATGGCCCCATCTCCAAGGCAAAGCCCATCAATGCCTCTCACAAGGACCAGGGCAGTGCCCAGAGGCCAGGGTGGGGCCTGCATGACCACACTCACATCGTCATCTCCTGCTCCCTCCTGGCCACCGCTCTCCAAGAACTTCTTAAAACCTTCTAGCGTCCGCTCTCCATTATAATCAATGACCTGTGGGAAACAACTGGTGAGCGCACGAGCTATGCAGCACCTCCCTGCGGTGTATCCTCAGTCCCTCCTGCATGGGTCCTCCAGCCCAGGGACCCCCGAATTGGTCTGCAGAGCCCAGGCAGGAAGGCGCACCGTTTTGTCTGCACTGGCGGGGAAGAACTTCAGGGTAGGGAAGCTGTGCACTTTGACGGCCTCCACTTCGTTGGCTGTTGAGTCCATCTTGGCGATGACAATGTTCTCGTGGTCCTTGTAGGTCTCTCCTAGCTTATCCCAGATGGGGGCCAGCTGCTTGCAGTGACCACACCACGGCGCATCTGGGAAGAGAGCAGCGCTGAGGCTCCCTCCTGGATGCCTGCACTGAGCTCCTTACTCTGCCGCCGCCCCAGTGAAGCAGTCACCTTGGAAGCTGGGGACTCTACTCACAGAATTCCACAAAGACATTCTTTTTCTCATCAAAAGCAACCTCTTCGAAGTTCTTCCCCACTAGCACTTTGACGGGCTGCTTATCCCAGTCTTCAGGCAACTCTTGGCTCATGAGGTGGGGCTGGAGGGCAGGCAGACACACACACAGAGACAGACATGGTGAAGGCGCCACTCGCACATCCCAGCCCTGGAGCAGCCAGCTGCAGCATACACTGTCCTCTGGAAGCTGGCACAGCCAATGGTGCCAAGAGCCCAGCAAGGTCGGCCCAAGGACAGAACAGATGGTGCCTCTCGGCCTGAGGCTACCTTGGAGCACAACTGGGTTAGCAGTGTAAGAGGCCCTCTGTGAGGTTCCCAAAGGTGAGTGCCAGGAACGAAGATGTCACACTGCCTTGGTCCTCTGTGCTCTCAGCCCTTGAGACTGAGGCTAAAGCCACAGGAAGCCAAAGACAGTGAAGCCCATAGTCTCAGGGGTAGATGATCTGCTCTACAAGGTGAGCCACTGTTGGCCCAGTCAGGCCTTACTACGTACCTTGATCTTGCCTTCCAGGAAGTGCTGGCAAAACTCTGTGATCTTCTCAGCTGTCAGCTCCTCTGATGCAGGTTTGTACTTGGTCATCTCCTCCTCCAGGGTGATGAGCCGCACAGCTGGGCACTCCTCTTTCTTTAGCCCGAAAAACTCGAGGATACGTTGGTTGTCAGCATGGTCGCTGTCGATGAAGATAAACAGGATCTTGGGAGAGAAAAGGCACACTGAGACAGAGCTGGGACAGCTCCCACTCCCAGGCAGGTCTTGGGGCTGCCCAGCCAGAGCAGAGGTTCATCCCATGAATGCCCCAGTATCAAGACCCAAAGGGACAGGAACAGGGCTCAGTCTTTCCCACGCACAGTGCAGGCCTACACAGCAGGGTACTCACTTTGCCCTTGAAGCCCTCTGCTGCTTTCTTGAAGTTGCTTAGTTTGCTGTCATAGTCAGACACACTCTTGGGCAGGAAGAGCAGGATATGAGTCTTGATTTCACCTCCAAAAATCTTTGGGGCTGTCTATATCACAAACAGAAGTTTCTATATCAGAACCACAAACTAAGCCTTGAAAGAAGAGTCTCTGTGGCTACAAGTCCACTAGACAACTGGATGACAGTTATGTCTGGGCTCAGGAGAGTCATACCTGCTCGGTGAACTCAATGACCAGGGGTAGCTGGTTGTGCTTGATGAATTCCAGCAATTTCTCTTTGGTGACCTCCCCCTCAAAGTTGTTCCGGCCTTCATCAAACTGTGGGCAGAAAGGGTGCCATAAGCAAGCCCTGCAGGACAGTACCCAGACTGACCAGGCACCTCATCCTGCCACTAAGACATACTTGTTTCCTGATAGTCTAGACTGGCTTCAGCCATCACCTTGCAGCCTCCAATAAGTCCAGAAGGTTTTCTGTCCACAGCTCAAGCATGGTGGCTCCTGATTTGCCAAATGCCCCAAAGTTAGGAGTCACAGGTGTGCCTGGCTCCTGCCCATCTCTCCACAGAGCCTCATCTGCTCTACAGGTGTATACAAAGAGGCCGCCAGTGCAAGCTATGACATCCATCACAGGTGACAGCAACTCTAGGATCACAAGTCTGAGAGCCTCAGTCAGGCCTTATAGATACCACCTTTCTCATTTCCATGCTCCTGCAACAGCAGTTTATGACATACAGCTCATACTCACGCTTCAGCTTTACCCTCTCAGGATACTTGCAGGGCAGCACCTGAACAATACGCTGCTTTAACAGTCGTCACCTGCTAGGGTCCAGCCTTGCTCCTGACGTCACTGAGCACCCCCCCCCCCCGAGATTTAGAACCACCTTCCCAAGTGATAGCATCTGAGGCCACAAGGTAGAGCATAGCTACCTGGGGGTGGCAGCAGGAGGCTGAACAGGGCCAGAACCCAGGGTGGCCTTAGCTCAGGAGGGATGGACACAGCACGTCCTGACACAGACAGCCAGTTCCTTCACCTCAGACTTTTCAGGTGAGAATGCCAGATAAGTGCTCATTGCTCCCTTGAGACTTCTATTTTTTTTTTTTGGGGGGGGGGGGACGAACCAAGCCCATAGTGAGAACATGCAACTGCGGACGTCGCATTTTGGGGAGCCTTCATTTATTATTTGTGGTGTGAGTGCTACACCCATGAGATGGATTTTTTTTTTTTTTTTTTTTTTTTTGGGGGGGGGGGGCAGAACCGGGGATTGAACTCAGGCCCTTGCATACTGAGCCATTGCTCCAGTCCCTCCCTTGGGACTTCTAAAAAAACGTAGGAAAGTACAGCTGGGCATGGTGGTGCTCACCTGAAATCCCAGCACTCAGAAAGCTGAGCCAAGAAAGTATTTAACTCAAGGCAAGACCCTGTCTCAAAATTTTTGAAAAAGGGGGGAGAGGAATATAGCTTGGTAGTATATGTCCCTGGGTTAACCCCTAGTACTATTAAGTATATATGTACTAAGTATAGACAAAACTTATCATTCCTGATTTTTTTTTTCCATTACTGGAGATTTTATTTATTTTTTTAATGTATTTAGTACAGGGTTTACAGGGTCTCACTATACAGATCAGACTCAGAGTGATCCTCCTGTTTTTGCTTTTTTTTTTTTTTTTTTGGTGGGACTGAGGACTGAACTCAGGCCCTTGCCAGGCAAGCGCTTATGCTACTGACCCATCTCCCCAGCCCCCATCTATCTCCCTGGCCCTGATCCTCTTGTTTTTCAACCTCCCAGGTGCTCGGATTACAGGCCACCACACCCAGTCTTAGTCTCAGTCTGTCTTGGAGGGCCCTGGGGGTAGGGACGGCAGGGACAGCATGACATGCTGGGGAATCAAACCCCAGTCCCTACATATTACTGGGGATTTTAAATTCAGGGCCTTTACACTAAGCTACATCCCTAGACTTTTTATTCTGCGATAAGGTCTCCCTAAATTGCCCAGGCTGGGCTTGAACTCGCAATCAAGTCATGGCTACATACTCAACTTCTGCCTTGGGCTCCTGAATGCTGGGGATCACAGGTATGCATGACCACATCTGGCTCCCAACTGCTTGCTACAGGCTCATTGGCTGGATATGAGGATGTGGAAGGCTGACTGCACTCTTCTTATCAGCCATGGCCCTTCATGGCTTCCCAAAGTAATGGGAAGGGCCATTAGCTTAGCTGAGGGTATAGCTCCATGGTGGCTACTTCTAGCTCCCACAGCAAAGTACCTCCAGGGGAGAAGAGTGCCAGTCAGGCCCTCCAGCCCAACCATGGAACTGTGTTGTTAAAGGCAGGCCGAGGAAACGTGGTACACGCCTACAATCCTGGTACTGAGGAGACTGAGGCAGGAAGATCACTGAGTTGAGTCCAGCCAGGCTAACAACAAAGTGAGCTCAAGGCCAGCCTGAACTGCATAGTAAGACCCTGTCTCAAAAAGACAAACATAGGGCTGGGGAGATAGCTCAGTAGAATAAGCGCTTACTGGCAAGCGCGAGGGCCTGAGTTCAATCCCTGGTTCCACAAAAAAAAAAAAAAAAAAAAAAAAAAAGTATATATATATTTATAATAAATATAAAAAAGAACTAAAAATAAAGCTAGGCCGAGCCCTGGGCTGTGAGTCATTCCTCCAGGCCCACTCTTATCTTTCCAAACAAGCAAAGGTGGAGTGAATAATGAAGTAGGAAGACAAGGCCAGAAGACCCTATGAAAGAATCATTTGGAAAATGCTAATGGAGGCCTTGCTCAGAAGGGGCCCAAGCCCACGCTCCCTGGCTGATTCCAAACCAATCTGTCATGCTCCTTGCCCTGCAAAATGCTCTGCCCACAATGGGGCCAGGCATCATCTGTACAGCTCATGCTGAGCTCCAGTCAGGTGCCACTTTTCCTGTAATGTGACCATGTGGACTTTCTCTGTCTACCTTGGGAAGTCCATCTCCCATTTAGTGGGGGACAGTGGCAGGAAGAGTAACCACCATGGCACTGCCCTCAACAGTAGCCTTGCCAGGTCATGGTGACAAAACTCACCACCAGGCCTGACTGCAGGATGGTAGAGAGAGCGTGGCCCCATACTCACTAAGTCCTCAAAGAGAAGAAATAAAGTCAGTGTGAGAATATACACACAGGACTTGCCAGTAATCCCAGCACTTGGGAGACTGAGGCAGGAGGACTGCTGTGAGTTGAAGGCCAGCCTGGGCTACAAAGTGAGCTCAAGGCCAGCCCAAAATACATAGTGAAACCCAGCCTCAAAAAACAAACAAACAACAACAAAAATCTAGGACTATTAGCTTTTAAACCAATGGCCCACCATGTGTCAGTGGCCTCACTCTGCTGGTCATCCCCACTACCTGTTATCCTCCAGGGAAAAAGGCCAAAAAGCAGCCACAGCTGGCCTGCACAGCCCCACTGGGGAAAGCATCTCGTGCTGCTTGGAGTCAGGAGTTTGGTACAGCAGCAGCTCAACCTCCTTGGACTTCAGAAATGGTTCCCCCTATATTCCCCCACGGCAGCCTCACTTACAAATTCATCCCTTACTTTGGAGCCACTCAACCCTTAGCCTGTGTAGCCACCTCTGAGGTGCAACATGACCACACATCAGCCTCCGCAGACAGCCTTTCCCAAGCCCTCAGGGGCTCTGCTCAGAATCTTCCTGCCTTTGCAACAGACCAGGTCAGCATCCTAAGGCCCTACTCCTAGCCTAAGGACACTGCCCAGCCCTTGTATATGCTGCCACTTGGGTAAGAGTCCATGAGCGCTTTGTCCAGGTACAGCAGTATCCAGGACCACAGCCCTAGTTCCAGTCCTGCTGATCTATATAAAAGCCAAGAAAGCTACAAGCTACACTGGTAGCAAAACTGCACAACCCAGGACCTGTGTCCCTTTAACAGGAAAATGGTTAAGACATCCAGTTGCCAAAGAGGAAGGACTGGCAGGGCCAGTAATCTTCAAGGTGGGAGACACAGGAGCTAAGGCTGATGCTAGGGAACACCCATCCAACCCTGTGGGCTACCACTCAAGAGCTGCTGTCTGAAGTGAGAAAAAGGTTTTGGGAACAGACAAGCGGTCACATGGCCCTGTGAAAGTTAAGTAGTGCCATCCAACTGGACACTTCACTAGTTCGAAGCCAGCCTGGGCTCTATAGTGAGTTTAAGGCTAGCCTGAAACATACAGTGAGTCCTTGTTTCAAACTTGACCTCCAATGATTATGGTGACAAATGACAGTTATGCATCCTGCCACAACTAAAAACAAAATGCTAATCCAAGAGCTGCATGCGGTGGTGCATGCCTGCAATCTCAATACTCTGGAAGGTTAATTCATGAAGACTGCCAATTCGAGCCCAGCCTGGAGAACCTAGCAAGACCCTATATCAAAATAAAGAGATTAAGAAACAAAGCAAAAACAAACAAAAAGAAACAAAAAATCCTGTGGGTTCCAAGCTCAGAAATCCACTGTGTAAGTGGCTCTCACATAGTCCCAGGAATCCTGATAAATATCGCACCAGCCTGGAGCCGGGAGCAAGGTCCCCTTGAGATAAGGCAAGCAACACACACCCCATACATCCCTCACCCCTGCTGATGGGCAGCTAAACTGCCGTCGCTGCTCACCTTCTTAAAGAGGACCACCCCATCTTTGTCAAGCTGGTATTTGGAGAACACATTACTGTTGGATGTGATCCCAAAAGGTATGTCATCAATGGCCTCTGCTACCAGCAAGAACTCCTTGGCAAAGTGTGACTCCACGTCCTGGGAGAGGAAGGGAAAGCACAGGTAGTTGCACACCCTAACACTGCGGAGCCCCACCCAATGGCAGCAGGGCAGACCATGCAGTGCCCAGGTTGCAGGGATCCCTGCCTGAGCAATAACAAAGCAGCAAAGTTCCAACACTCTACCTTGAAAAAGCCAATGACAGCAACCTCGCTGGACTCCACCAGGGATTCTGCAGCTGCACCATCCGACAGGGTGGTGGCAGCGGGGCCAGTGCGCTTCTTCAGCCAGTTCACAATGTCATCAGCTTCTCTGCCAGCTGCACCCCAGACAGATGCAAGTTCTATAGTCAGTGTGCTGTATTCCCTGAGTGCACCTCTCACCTAAGCACTGCTCTATGGGCTAAGGACCTTGGCACACATTAAGATGTTTTCCCCACAGGCAGCCCAGAGGTTGGCTGGCTGCTCTCACTCCAGCACAGAGGGCTACAGCTGAGCTTAGAGGAGGAAGAGATGGGTATGGTGGCAAATGTCTGTGACCCCAGCTCCACTACTTGGGAATCTCAGGAAGCTCAAGTTCCAAGTCAGCCTGGGCAATTTAACAAGACTCTACCTCAAAATAAAATCTAACAGGGCCAGCCAAATAGCTTAGCAGATTAAAGTGCCTGCAAGCAGGCGCAGAGACTGGGGGTTCGATCCCCGGGCCTGCCATGCTGGCCCCACCCCTGGGGTGCCCTGAGACAGCAATTGAGACTGGGTGTGGTGGCGCGCACCTGTAATCCCAGCTCTTGGGAGGCTGTAAACAGGCGGATCACTATGAGTCCAATCTAGTAGTGAGACCCTGAATACTCTGTAGACCCTTCCCTAAAATACAAAATACATAAATAAATAAAATAAAAAACAATAAAATCCAACAAAAGACTAGAAGTCTGGATCAGTGGGAGAGAACTTGCCTAGCAGCATGAAAGACCTGGATTCAAAAGCCAGCACTACAAAAGGGGGGGGGTCATACCAGTTTTCCCACCCTGATCCTAACACTCCCAAGTGGGCCAGGGTCTGCCCTACCATCTCCTAGACTGATAGGAAGCAAGGAGGGGATGGCACATAGGCACGAAACCCATTGGGGTAAGGGGCTGCTTTCTCCAGGAACCCTAGGCCAGTGAAACCATTCTTTCCTTCCCTCCTGAGGTGACTGCCTGGGCCAATCTCAGAAGGAAAGCCCAACCTTACTGTGGAGAATCACAGTAACTGCAGACAAGGTACTTCCCATTCTAAGTGAACACATGCAAAAATTACAGCTGCAGACAGCCTAGTAGTAAAGCAGGACAAGCTACTAAACAGAAATCATTTGCCAGCACTGGGATGGTTACAGGTCACCAAGCACATGGCTCTGATAGGTATTTAGAGAACTAATTTCTACAGATAAGTCCCCCTGTGGCATCAGTAACTGCTTTGATCATAATAGGGCCCAACTTGCATGGAAAATGCTTTCGAAATGACTGGGTGGCAGCTGAGGATTTGGATTTGTGGTCCACCACTGACGGCTACCATCCTGTCACTGCCTGTGAAGGACCCTCCCTACTGAGTGGTCCAATGAGAGATCCTGAGCACCAAGAGCACTGGCCTACCTCTGCACTTCCCAATACTCGAGAGGCTGAGGGAAGAGCACTGCAAGTCTGAGGCTCATCTAGGAAACTTAGTGAGACTGTTTCAAACTAAAGCCATCCTGGGCCAGGAAGATAGCTCAGTGGAATAAGTGCTTGCCTGGCAAGCACAAGGTCCTGAGCTCAATCCCTGGTACCACAAAAAAACAAAGAAAACCTAAAACCACCAGATAGCTCAGCAGACTAAAGTGCCTGCTCAGGCAGAGTGCAGCGGCCAGGGTTCGATTCTCAGCATGCCATGCTGGTCCTGACCCCCAGGGTGTGCTGAGACAGCAACAACTGCCTGGACGTGGTAACACACACCTGTAATACCAGTACTTGGGAGGCTGAAAACAGGAAAATCACCACAAGTACAATCTACGTAATGAGACCCTGTAGATCCTGCACTAAAGTACACGAAAAAACAAAACAAAAAAAACTAAAACCAAGTCAGGTGCGGTGGTACAACTATAATCCCAGCACTCAAGAGGCTGAGGCAGGAGGATTGCAATGAGTCTGGCCTACATAGAAAGACCTTGTCTCAAAGCAGAACATGGTGGCACATGCCTGTAATCCCAGTATTCAGAGGCGGAGGCAGGAAGATCCTTGCAAGTTCAAGGCCAGCCTGGGCTACAAGTGAGCACAAAGCCAGCCTGAACTACATAGTGAGACCCTGTCTCAAAAAGACAAGGAGAAGAAGGAGGAGACAGAGAAGAGGAAGAGGAGGAAATTCCTGCTGTGGGAGGGGGGGGGGTAAAAGAAAGAAAAACAAAGAAATGACACAAGTGTTTGGCTTAGTGGATGTCACACTACCTTACCTAGTTGACAAGTATCAGCTCAATATTTTAGGCTTACTGTGCATGGTGGTACATGTCTGTAATCCCAGAACACAGGAGGCTGAAGCAGGAACACTGTCAAGTTCAAGATCAGCCTGAACTACATAACAAGACCTTGCCTGGGGCTGGAGAGATGGCTCAGTAGAATAAGCGCTTCCCTGGCAAGCGCTAGGGCCTGAGTTCAACCCCGGTTCCACCAAAACACAAGCAAAAAAGACCTTGCCTACCCTGTCTCAAAAAATGGGGGGAAAAAAAAGACAGTAGACAAAAAAATCCAACTGAGAACATGGTTTCCTCCAGGCTTTTGAACATGAGCCCCTACCTGTTGGATGCACTACTGGCTATGCTTTCAGCTGGGTTAGCTTTAAAGACCTGCAGGCAAAATCCCTCTGCAAAGACAATTAAAGGGCAGTACTGCAGTTATACCTGTATACTCCTTGGGAGAGGCAGTATCTCCATTCTTGAAGAACTTGATAGTGGGGTAGCCACGGACGCCATACTGCTGGGCCAGATCAGACTCTTCAGTGGCATCCACCTTTGCCAGCCGAATCTCGGAACCTTCTGCCTTCAGTTTCCCAGCTGCTTTGGCATACTCCGGGGCCAACGCTTTGCAGTGGCCACACCAAGGAGCATCTGGAAAAGAAACCAAGTGAGACACTAAAGAGCAGCCCTTAATCTTGTTCCATGGCTTCTCTTTCATAAAAACCTTATCCAGGGGCCGGGGAGATGGCTCAGTGGAATAAGCGCTTCACTGGCAAGCTCAAGGGCCTGAGTTCAATCCCTGGTTCCGGAAGAAAAAAAAAAAAAAAAAAAACCTTATCCATGCACAAGATAACCTTTCTTTACAACTAAGCTGTGCTGATAGCTGGCACCCTTAGGCAGTATCAGGAGAGAGGCCACAAGTGACAAACCTATTCTAAAACCAGCCTGATACTCTGCTGTCACTACCAGGAGATAAATCCTCTAACCAATGCAACTTTGTACCACATGCAAGTAAGCTGGGTTAGTGCGTCCCTAGGATTTCCCTTTAAGGATCCAGGCAAAGTTGAGATTGGTGCTCCACCTCTACATCCAGCAAGTATGTTCTGGGCACCCCTGCACGTGCCCAGACACACGGTCCAGCAGTTCTTCACAGTGCAGAAAAAGACAATCGGTGCTAGCAGCTGTGTTGGGCATGATTCCCACCTCAGAGAGAGCTGGCGTTCAAATACTTCTAATTATAATCATAAGGCTTCTGGTTCTGGATTGCTACAGCCTGGGAATATGATGGCAGGTTAAAGGTAGTATGAGCAAGGGCAGGGCGTTTCTGGGTCAGCCTCGATGAGTAACTAGCAGGGCCAGACTCTGGCTTGTTCTATGAGCCATGGCTCACATAAGTCCCCTCTGTTTCTCCTATGCTAACAGAGGGATCGTACCATGTGGACGGCGGGCACAAAGACACCTCTCTGGCTGGCAACCCGGCAGGCACACAGAGCCCATCTACACAGGCAGGACGCCCCCTTGGACTGACAATCGGTGCGCTCTCGAGACGAAGCTCGAGCCGATCCAGGCCATCCTGCCGGGCCACCAGAGCCTGCCCGAGCCGGCGCGTCCAGAAAAGGCCCGGGGCATGCGCGGGCAGCGCTATGTGGCTGGGAAGAGGTTTTGCGGGGCGGCGCCCGTCCGCCAGGCCCACGGCGCACTTACAAAACTCCACCAGCAGGTACTTGTGCGCCGCCAGCGCCTCTGCGAAGTTGCTCTTCTTGAGCACGAGGACGTGGTCCTCCTCCTCGGGAGCGTCGGCGCCCACCCGGGCCACCGAGGCCAGGGCCAGGCACAGCAGAGCGCAGCTTAGCATGTCGGACGTCAGCGATGAGCAGACAGCAGAGGTGGGCTGTCCAGTTAGCGCCGCCGGGACAGTAGCGAGAGCGCGCGTCGGCCACGGCCTCGCCTTTATAAATCCTGAATCGGAAGGGGGGAGGAAACGTCTGCCGCTTGCCGCACGCACGCGCCCTCTGGGACTCTCTGATTGGCCAGTGGACTGCGGGTCCCGCCCTTGCTACGCTCGCATTGGATACGCGCTCTAGGCCCGGCCCCGGAGTCGGAAATGCTGAGGAGGCCTCCCCTCGCCCAGGATTGGTCGGGGCACTCGCGCTCCCTCTCTTCTCTACCCCCTAAGTGGTTCCAGGAGGAGAACTTTCTCTCCCTCGACTTCTGACTGGTGGTTTCCTCCCACACCTTCGGCGGATCTGGACTGGCTAATGCTTTCGGCTGTACGTACTCCGAGGCCCCTGATTGGTCCAGATATGCGCGCACCCTGGTGTTCCTTCGTCGAACGTGGCAGTGGGACGGAGTCCTCAGCCGAGGGGCGGGCTTACGCCTGCGTCTCGGTAACCCCTCGTGTTGCTTTCTTACTGGACCGCGTATCCGCAATTGGCACTGCCTCCTCGTTCAGCGGCCCGGAAGCCAGAGTGACATAATTTCCGGTGCGCGTGCAGCCCGTGCGGTTTTTGCAGAGAGCAGTGGCCTGTGGGTAAACTTGTACTTCCTTCTAGGCCCTCCGGAGAAAGTATTTGGGTGTCAGCCGCACGTGCGACCTGCCTATGAGGGCCAAGCCTGTCAGGGAGTGCAGGGTCGACAATCCCCAGTGGCAGACTCCAGGGAGTCGGCGATGACCTGTACGCGCACGTCCCTATAGCTACCCCTCGTTGACTGGCTGCCTCCGCAGATCGCGGTCTCCATCCAGAGGCGGGCCCCAGGTGGCCGCGGATGGGATACCGAGAACTGTAGCACTAGCGACTAGGCTAGCAGCTAGTTGAAATCGTTTAGGTGCTTTTGGTTAAGTCGCTTTACTTATTACTGTACATGCCTTGAAACTTTAAAATGACTTACAAGCCGCGCATGATGGCACAGGTCTGTAATCCCAGCACTCAGGAGTCTGAGGCAGAAGGATCGTTGCGAGTTTGAGGCCAGCCTGAATTGGATAGAGAGACCCTGTCTCAAAAGGACAAAAGTAAATAATTTGTTTTACAAAACAAAATGACGGGGCCGGGGAGATGGTTCAGTAGAATAAGCGCTTCCCTGGCAAGCGCAAGGCCCTGAGTTCAATCCCCGGTTCCGCCAAAAAAAAAAAAAAAAAAGGCATACAAGGTTCACGTTTTTCTGTTATACTTCCCAGTCCCTCACAGCCCACCGCTGTCACCACCTCTGCCTGCCCCTGCTTTTCCACCAGCTCTGTCACCGCCTTCCTTATTCCTCCTGTTGTTTTCCTCAGCGCATACAAAAGGACAGGTGATCTTTAAAGCTGTCTAGAAAACTTATGTTAAGGTACAGGCTGTTAGCATCCTGATCTCAGAAATAGTAAATTACAGGAGAAAATCCTTTTGTACTTTTGATATCAAGTCTATTTTTTTTGTTTTGTTTTGTTTTGGCAGAACAGGGGATTGAACTAAGACCCTTGTGCTTGCCAGGGAAGCGCTTATTCTACTGAGCCATCTCCCCGGCCCCTCTATTGGTTTTCTTTTTTTTTTTTAAATTTTTATTTTATGTGTGTGTGTGTGTGTGTGGCCAGCTCAGCCCACCAGGGGGTGGGGCTGGCTGGCATGTGGTGCTGGGGAATTGAACCACGGTCCCTGTGCTTTGCTGAGCTTGTTTTAAGTAGGTGCTTTAGACCACTGAGCCAACTCACCAGCCCCTCTATTGGTTTTCTATTTAAGTTTTTTTTACAGTCCTCAATCCTGCTTCAGCCTTCTGAGTGCTAGAATTACAGGCTTGTGCCAACACACCTGGGTTGTTTTTTTGTTTGTTTGTTTG